CTTGTCCACATGTTTGTTCACCCCCTCAAAGAACACTAACAGGTTAGTGAGACAAGATCTTCCCTTACAGAAACCGTGCTGAGTCTGCCTCAATAGGTTTTGTTCATCTATGTGCCTACTAATTCTTTCCTTAATAATGGTTTCCACCAATTTACCCGGTATCGACGTCAGACTGACTGGCCTGTAATTTCCCAGATCTCCTCTGGAACCCTTTTTAAAGATGGGAGTGACATTTGCTACCTTCCAATCCTCAGGAATGGAGGCAGATTTTAAGGAAAGATTACATATCTTTGTCAGGAGATCTACAAGTTCACATTTGAGTTCTTTCAGAACTCTCGGATGTATGCCATCTGGGCCTGGTGATTTTTCAGTTTTTAAGTTGTCTATCAGTTTTAGGACCTCCTCTCTCGTCACCTCAATCTGACTCAGGTCTTCCAACACCCCTCCTGAAATCAGTGGTTCTGGAGTGGGCAAGCACTTCTCATCTTCCACAGTGAAGACGGAGGCAAAAAATGCATTTAGCTTCTCAGCCATTTCCCTATCATCCTTCAATACTCCTTTTACCCCTTGGTCGTCCAAGGGCCCTTAGCAGAGAAGTCTGATGGAACACTGGTCTGAGTTTCTTTTTCTAATGTATTTTACTAGAATTGGTCATAGCTGAACAACCATTTCATCAATACAATTCATGCCTTTCCTGTACAACAGCTTAGTTCTTCCAAGTGGACCTTCCGCCCTTAGCAGAGAAGTCTGATGGAACACTGGTCTGAGTTTCTTTTTCTAATGTATTTTACTAGAATTGGTCATAGCTGAACAACCATTTCATCAATACAATTCATGCCTTTCCTGTACAACAGCTTAGTTCTTCCAAGTGGACCTTCCTTTCTGTCTCTTCAAACAGGCTGGTTCATTTGACTTCTACCAGAAATTCTTCTTCTTTTGAACAGCAGGAGTATGCTGGCAAAGACTCTTCTGGTGTTTAGGAGACCCTGTAAAACAATCCATGAGGACATTTGCTAACTGATGGTTTCTTCTGTTTCTACTGGATGTGCTGTTAGGCTTTTATTCTGCATGGTATAGAAAGGTGATGCTTTAGGGTTACTTCTTGGTTCTGTGTGCTACGCTATTGTGATTTCTATATTGGCCTGTTGTTTCTCAGTGATGTTGAAAGCAATGTTGGACAGAAACAGAAGGTGGGGAATAAATTTAAAAAATAAGGTGTGTTGCATATCCATATTCAGTTAAAATAGATTTGGACTACATAATTCCAGTATTTCAGTATCATAAGCTTGTTGTTGTTATTCAGTCGCACAGTCGAGTCCGATTTTTCGTGACCCCATGGACCACATCACGCCAGGCCCTCCTATCTTCCATCGTCTTCCAGACTTTGCTTAATTTCATGTTTGCTGCATCAGTAACACTGTCTAACCATCTCATTACCACATCCAATTTACCGTGATTCATAGATCTTACATTCCAGGTTCCTATGCAGTATTGTTCTTTGCAGCATCAGACTTTCTTTTCAGCATCAGACACATCCACAGCCGAGCGTCCTTTCGGCTTTGGCCCAGCCGCTTCATTCTTTCTGGGGTTATTTGTACTTGCCCTCTGCTCTTCCCCAGTAGCATATTGAACACCTTCCGACCTGAGGGACTCACCTCCGGCATCATATCTTTTAGCCTTTTCTTACTGTCCATGGGGTTTTCTTGGCAAAGATACTGGAGTGGGTTGCCATTTCCTTCTCCAGTGGATCACGTTTTGTCTGAGTTCTCCGCTGTGGCCTCTGTCCGTCCTGGGTGGCCCTCCATGGCATAGCTCGCAGCCTCATCGAACCACACAAGCCCCCTTGCCACGTCAAGGCAACGATCCATGAGCTTACTGAGACATAAGCCTATATGAATTTTGTTGTTAGCATCTGAGCTTTTGTCTTGTGGTAAAGGGTGGGGGAGGTGAAGATTGTAATCTAACAGGAATGGTTTGCTCTTTTTTAATTTCAGTGGCAGTTCTACTATGTTGGATTTCCTGTAAAAGAGAATACCATTTACCACATTGATGGTCACAACCTACCACCAGGAAACCCAAATGAGGACATTCCATCAAAATACGTACAGCTGTCTTCTCCAGGTAACTGGAAAAACAGCATCAGCTTAAATAAATTTGCATGAAAATACCTGGTATGAATTTAGTTTCTTTACTGAGCATGTAGTTTTTACAAGCTTCAGCTGTTTGCAGAACTGGGAGCCCAGCAGCAGGTTGGGTGCTTGCTACTCTCTTCCCTCCTTGTGTAATCAGCACTATTGGAGTAGAGCCTTGATCACTTGTTGGCGAGGGAATAGGGCCTAATTTGACTCCGAGTACCTCTTTCCTTACAGGAAGTAAATGATAAAATCTAGTGCCGATAAGGTTTACTGATTGGTCGCTAATGCGAACTGCTGACATAAGGGTGTTCTCCGTCTCCCCCCCCCTCAATAGTAACCTTTAGAATTTTGATTGGACTATTTTGTGTAGTATGTAAATTGAAGTGTTAGAATTAGCACAAATTAATGTGATGATTATCTGATTAAACAAGTTGACTAGATATCTGATACAAAAATCTTAATGCCATAGTATTAAAAACATAACGGCAGGAAAATTAAAATGCTTAAAGGCAGCAGGATACTTCAAACACTGAGCTTTTCTGCGTGATTTTTTTTCATTGGTTCTGGCTCCATACTTCAGTTTATCCCCCGATTTCCACATTTTTTTTGTGCTTTTAGCTGTTGCTTCGTTCTGACCCCCCCCCATTTGTGTTCTGGTTCTTTTGAGACCTCTTTTAACCTGATCTTTTTCTTGAAGCCAACTTAGTCGCCCTTTTTCATGTGTGTAATGTTTCTGTCAAGTTTTTTGTCCTACCCACTTTTCAGTGATGAGACTATCACCATCATCAAATGATTCCCTTTTGTCCCCCCTGCCCTGAAAATGAGTGATTTCATTTTCATTTTTTTTTAAATAGAACCCTTATTGATATAAGCATGCAAAAAATAGATTTAGCAGATTCTATGAATTCCCAGTTTTCCTTAAAAAAAAAAGTCTCTAGCTTATTCTCCTGTGGAGATATGCCTTTTTCGATGTACTTTTACAAGGCAAGGGGCTAGAGGCTTACTTAAAAACATGAAAGCTGAGAATTCAGAGAACCCGCTAAACCTCTCTTTACAATGCTGTATTGATATAACAATATTTTAGTTCTGATTTTTTTTAAAAAAGCAAAAGCTTTGGTAGTAGTGGGGTGGTCACCTCCAGCACCAAAAGAAAAGAGGCAGAGTTTGAACGGGTCATAGCCCTTCACATATGGTTCACTGTGCAAAGACAGGCAGGCATGGGGGAGGATTCTTGTTGACCATTCCTCATAGCCAGTTGCAGCCCATCTGAGGCATGCTACCCTTCCCCTTCAGCAGTCTTGTGTGTGTCAGTGGAGGCCACCCCACTCTTTTCCTAAGTGTGTGTTCATTTTTGATGCTTAAAATTCAGCCATGGTATTGATACACAAGCATGCCCAAAAAATAAAAAGGTGTGTGTGGTGGTGCCACCAGGGATGACAGCACCCTCCCTTGAAAAGCCTGACGGTTTAAGGCATGTGCAGAAGAAAATAAACTTGACTCCACAACTGTGAAAATGCAGAAGGAAGGCAGAGGTACAGAAGAACCATGCCCAAACTGATTCCAGCGCTTGTGGATCCACTACCAAGGAAATCAGGAGTAAGTCGAGTGTGCAGACAAGCCCACAAGCTCATCACAGCTTCATCCATTTTGGTCATTCACTTCATGGCCTCCGTGCAATTACAAAGCCCATTTGCACTGCTGTTTGATATTTGCTGCTGTATGTTGTAACGACACACTGTTGCTATCATATAATGTGTAAAATGTTCCTCTGTCTGATGTTTTTTAAACTAATAGTTTAATTTGCTAAAATGAGCCTATAGTCCTGAAAACGTCTTTTTTTTTTTTAATTGCAAATGTAGAAGATTGAAAGATGAAAAAAACCTGGGGTACTTAGTGAGGCTGATGTAAAATCTTAAAAAGCTTACGAATATACCGATAATTCTGTTTGTAAGGCAGTCAGTGACAGTGTAGTCCTAGGAACGCTTTCATAGAAGTAAACCCCATTAAATAGGCCCAAGTAGGATTCTGAGTAGACCATCTTAAGATTGTTCTCTGAAACACTGAAGGACATGCATGATTCTGTAATAGTGTTGCATCAGTGAACAGTTGTAACCCTCTTTATTTTTCCAGGTAAACTAATAATTTAGTGGTTGGCAATTATATCTCACCATACTAGATTTGTTTACAACAACTTGACGTGAAAAGCTTGTGGAATTTCTTAATATCAAAATATTTCAATTCACAGGCTGTGCAGATGATACCATGAAATATAGCAAAGCTTGCATAGAAAAAGGTAATTCCAGCTTCAGGTTTCTTTAATTCCATTATCTTCACTAATCTAAAAAAGTATTTATGCTTTCTGCTTAAAAGAGACTTTCACATTAGCAAAAATGATGATACATCGCTTATGGATAATGGCCTGGGAAACAAGTTGGTGAGGCACAATGCCTGCAGGGAGGTGAATAGGGCTGCCAGGCCTGACACTGTTGTCTGCACCATGACGTCACTTCTGAGGGGATGGTCTGGTAAGTCCTAGAGGTGAAAGTGCTAACCAAAGAAACTGGGTGGGAAATGGCACCTGGACAAATCATTGTCTGCTTTCCTCTCAGCCTACTTCCACAGTTAGATATAATGACTTGTTAAACACTGTTTGTGGAGGCGCACAAGTGCAGGCTATGGATATAGGCTGCGGTCACACACACTAAGTAATCCACTTTCAGTGACCTTCCAACTGGATTTTACTGTGTGAACTGGCAAAATGCAATTGGAAAGTGTATTGAAAGTGGATTATTATTGTGTGTGACTGCAGCCATAATATAGTTAGCTTTCCTTGTTCTATGATGTTTCCAGTACAGAGCAAATGACATAATCAAGATACTCTTATTATATGATGCTACTGTTAAACTGATGTCCACCTTTTCAAAGGTGACCGTACAGTGGTGTTCCCTTTAGATTCATGCCTCCACTCAAAAAATAAAAGCCTCTGAGATAAGCCTTCATAATTTCAAAAGAGTGGTGCTGGAAAATCCTTTGGCAAGTCCTGTTCTATTAGTTTAATGTTGGGTTGTGTGATGAAAGAAAGGGTGGTTTAGAAAGTGTAAACCCCTGATTATCTGTTTCCCCTCTCTCCTGGCCCAGGAGTATCTTGGGATGACATGGGAGAGCAGCACATGAGAGAATAAAGCATGATACCTCTATATGTTGTCTTGAGATCCTTTGAAGAAGAGTGAGATACAAATAGGTGGAGAACTAAATTTGGGGATGGGAAGCTATGGCATACGGCTATGCTTTAGGAGCTTTAGAGGTATGCTTCATCAGAAAGCACAACTGTCTGTGTGTCTACACGTTGCATAATTATATTGTGTACATAGGTACTTTTAGTTCTGTATTGCTTGATACTGAATAAGTGTGTACCACTGCAATGGAAACATTTGTGTCTTGGCTTAAACACACTAAAATCACAATGAAAGTTGTTTTGGCAAGTAAACTGAAGGTCTTAGCTTGGGATTTCTTTATGTTTCACAGGAAGTCTTTGGGATCCAAATGTAACTGTATGTAAAATGGATTCAGAAATAGAAGTGAATTTTACAGCTAGTGCCTTGAGTCCCACTTATAAAATCCTCATTTGTGACTCTGAATTCCGTGAATGCAGTGATCATCCAGTTATATTTCATGCCAAGGTATATATTCTTGTTCAAATAGAAGACTGAAGATGAGTGTAAATTATTTTTATGGTGATTTAATCAAGCAGTCAGCCAGTATATGACTACATTTGTGTGTTGGGATTTTTTAAAAGCTATATGTAAGAAATGAGATAAATAACACAGGTCTTTTCTGGTGTCTTTGCAATGGAAGAATGATACTAGAATTTCTGAAAAAATACCAGTGAATACTCCAAGCAGCAAAGACTACATAGAGGTAAGGCTTAACTATGAATAAAAAGATATATCTTCTGAAAAACCATTTCCCTGTTTTTCTTCCTATACCAATATACCTATACCAAAATACTTTGTACCAATATACCTCATACCAAATAGAAAGAGGATTAACCACATATGAATGCCCACACCAGTTTCCCCCCATCCAACTACTTTTCTTAAAGAAAAGATATCGTTATGTGTTAAGTACATTACCACAGAGACAGCAGTAGTTAGAGCTTCAGACTAGGTTCAGATCCCCACTCTGCCATGGAAGCTCACTGGGTGACCTTGGGCCAGTCACACACTTTCAGCCTAACCTATTTCACAGGGTTGTTGTAAGAATAAAATAGAGGATAGAGGATGCTTTAAGACATTTTGGGCCCCCATTGAAGAGGAAAGTGGGGCATAAACAAAGTAAATAAATAATAAATCAGGGGTATAATCAAAGTAAATAAATAATAAATCAGCAGTATAACGTTTGTTCATTTTTCTTGTCCTCAGAGATTAACTGCTGCTCCGTTTCTGAGAAGAAACTAATACTTGTGTTTAATTTATATTTTTATAAAGATACAAATGATGATAAACAAATCACATATGTAAGAAAATAAATGTTTCAGATCATTCTTTTGAAAATTATAACAGTTTGATTCAGTTTCAGTTTTTCTTACACAAAAGCAAGTTTCCATGCTATCAGAAAAATGGGCTTTCGTTGTCTGTCATCCTTCAGACAGATAATGTCTTTTTTAGCTTGAAAAGATTGTTGTTCCAATTTTTAATACCTAGCTTTACTGCAAATTTTCAGTGTATTTGGAAGATGTATATGCCTTAGCTATTAGCATTTTGTGAGGATGCGATGTATTTAAATGCTCCTTTTTCATGAGTTCAGAAACAAGAACTAAAATAATAGCTTGTGGGGTTTTCAACTTGATTTAAAATGCAATTAATTTCTGAGATAACCTTTACCAAAATTTAAGCACAGCTGGATATGACCACCATATATGCAGATAATCAGCAGACAGTGTTCCATGTTTCCAACATTTATAAGAAGATGCTGTAGAACATCTTTCATACATGCCCATGCAAACTGGATTTATAAGTCCAATAGAGAATGTTGATTTTCAGCCCTCTTCAGTATTTCAACATCTTTTCCCAGCACCTAAGAAGATCAAACTTATCTTTTACATGTACATCATACTGTAATAAAACACATTCAGTGAGCCTTTTGTTTCCTTGTTGTATATTTTCTCCATTTTGTTGAAATACAATCAACAATAATTGTATATATCATCATATTTATTTGAATATATATATATTCAAAGATATAAATTAGAAGATAAAACTATTTACTTTTGCCTAAAAAAGATGATGCAGTGTTCTGTAGTCTAAAGAAATGGACCCTCTTCTGGTAAGTGAGATGTGTACCTTTAATTTATCCAACTGTGCTGGTGTGATGATAGTATTAACTGTAGCTTTACTTGCTGAAGTTGGAACTATTTTGCTTTCTTGACTGATATTGAAGTACTGAGCTTCCATTATACTAATGTCGTAGTTAAGGGTATGAGAATCTAGAACTTACTCCTAGAATCTAGAACAAATTTCTCTGAGTCTTGATTTTACAGATATCACAGATTTTAATTAAGGGTTTGTATATATGGCCCACTTGTAAGGCAGCTTTCTTTCTTTCTTTCTTTCTTTCTTTCTTTCTTTCTTTCTTTCTTTTTCTTTCTTTCTCTCTCTCTCTCTCTCTTTCTGAATGCTAGTAGGTAACTCTGCAAATAACTGCAGCGTTCTCTAGCGTTCTCTAGCAGTCTTTAATAATTGTTCTTTGATAGAAACTTTAAAACAATCATTGTCAAGACATAAATGAGATCATTGGAATCAGACTGTGTTAATGATGCTTTCTGCACAAAGGGAAGTGGTGGAAAGAAAGCCCTTTAATCTCTAATCAAAGAAACAAGTCCATAAATGTTTCTGCTTCATCCAGCAAATATTGCTTACTAATACTGCAGATAATGTGTATAAATCTGTAGCAAACTGCTCAGACTTCTACAAATGGAATAAAATCTGATCTAGTGGTGAAAAGTGAAATAATATTGCTATAAAGACACTTAATACCCAAACAGATTTATAAATTGAGAGGACAAAGCTGAAAACTTGGTGTCAGCATTAGATTTCACGTAAGAATTCTGTCTATAATTATACAAAAAGCCCAAATCAGAACCAAATACCTTCAGCAAAAATAATTAAACTTAGTGTTCAGTTTGAAAGAGAAAAGTGTGCTGACCCCAAAATCATAGTAATTAGAAATAATCAAGTGTAATTCTTGAGATGTCAGTGCCTCAGTGTGTGTGTGTGTGGGGGGGGGATGGAGTTAATCCTTTGAAATCCCACAGTTGAAGACAGTGTAGGAACCAACTCAATTACTAGCCATTCAATCAAAGAGAAACAGGACAGAATAATTAAAAAAGGAAATGGGGAAACAGTGCCCCCTCTTCAAGCCGCTGATGAACAATCTTTAATAAAAGGGCGGAACCCTTCATGTGGTACTCTTTGCATGCTGCCTACAGCATGTGTCAGTAGCAGAGCCTGGTCTATTTGCCTAGAGCAATCCCAGAAGTGGCACTCTATTTTTGGTTTGGCTGGCTGTTGTGATAGAGTCTCTTTTCTCCCTGCTAGTGTGACAGGATGGGGGGGTGTTGATGGAGCACATGGCGAATCAGGAGTTGACCTTTCTTGGGACTGAAGGAACAGAATCCCAAAGGGAATTCTTACCTCCCCCTGTCAACCTAAAGTACTGCTTATTTCATGGAGAGCATGGAGGACATTACCTAGGCTTGAATCCAAACCCCTTTCCACTTCTGGTAGGTACTTCTGTGCCTGGAAGAGAGGGAGGGTACTTTTTGCTTTTTTTTTTTTGAGCCCCCGGAGGGGATTTTTTTATTATTTTTTATTCACTACAAAAAACTACAACAGAAAAAAGGGGAGGGGAACTACATATACAGGATAAAGTAAAGAAAACCCACTACTACCTAAAAACCCAAGAAAAGATATCCTCATTAGCCTAGTTACAGTCAATCTTCCCATCGTTTAAGTAATTAATAAACTGAGTCAATCATTAGTAATACTTTTTCTATAGCTCTTAAAACTTCACTGTCTAAAGACAATACCCCCCACTCATCCCATTTCACAGTTCTCAAAGGCACAATTCAGAGTCCTTCAGCCTTTACTTCTCTTTTCCTCGTTTCTTCCGTAGCTTGTAAGGACTTTTTGGAGCGGCCCCCCCTTGCTCAGACAGAGAGTCCTCTCCAGAAGAACCAGAGTCCAGCTCGCCACTAGACTTGCTGTCCTCTTCTTTTTTCCCGTCCTCTGGTCTTTCCAGCTGAACCCTTAGAAATTCTTTAGCTTTTAGAACAGAGTCAATCTTTTCTTTTTTATCGATCTTGAAATAACCATTTATATCCAATTGAGTTTGTCTGAAGAAAAAGAACCAGCTCCTTGTACTTCTTTCTCCGTTGTCTCACTTCAAATGGAATATCCTTTAGCGTTCTGATGGAACTATCCCCCACTTTCAGGGGTACTCCAGAAACTGCTTTCAGGATTGCATCCCTCACACGCCTCTTTGAGAATCTTACGACAATTTCCCCAGGCAGATTGTTCTTCTTTATATAGCCTGAATATGATCTATAGACCACATCCATTTCGCTCAGCAACAGTTCCGGTTCCATTTCTGTCACTGGGGCTAGCAATTCACTCATAACTTTTTAAAGATTCTCCCCCGATTTCTCTGGCATGCCCTGGAAGCGAAGAACCATGCTGGCCTTTTCCATTTGTACTTGCAACATTTGATCTTCCAAGGAGGTTGTTTTCTTTTCAAGCTTTTGCATTTTCTTCTTCACCTTTTGCGTAGTTGCGGCCACTTCCTTTACCTTCTCAGCATCCTGCTTCATTATTTGCAACATATCGCTTATCTGAGCTTGTTGTGCAGTAATGCTTTGGGTCACTGTAGACACCTGTTCCTTGAAGTTATTCAGCTGTTCCAGCAGAGGGCGCATGTACTCTGCTACAGACTTCGCCACCTAACTGGTAACTTCCGGTTTTGGGCTCTCCGATGCTTTCGCTTTCAAAAGTCTTTCTTTGTCCTTCTTCCCCGCCATCTTTATCGATTGTTTACTTTTGCGAACTTTTTAAAGGTCTCTGAATGTGCGCTTGACCACTTAAACTCGCTCGGGTAAGTGCCTTTAGGCAGTTTTCTTCGCGTTTTCTTCCGCCCCCCCCCCCCGCTCGCCTTTTTCCCGTTCGGTGGGGTGGGGAGCTGTCTTTTTGTCTTTAAATCACTTTAGAGTTGACTCACGTTCATAATTGGTCTTCCGACCCCGCTTTCTACTTCATTTTAAACGCTCGATCTCTTTCGCTTGCTGCGGTCAGCGCCACTAGATCCATTTGGTCTCTCAGCACGGAGAACCGTCGGAACAAAGAGGCACCTCAATTCTTGGGCATTCCGCCCTCGAAAAGGCAACCTCTTGAAAGTTCCATGGCCAGGGTCCCTTCACTGGGTCCCTGGGGGGGTAAACGAGCCTGCGCACCCCCTCCTTTGGCTGGAGCGCAGCTTCACCCCTGGGAGGTCTGGGAGGTGAGTCTGCTAGCGCGTCGCCATAAACCGGAAACCCCTTTTTTGCTGATTCCCTCATTACAGCCTACCCCACTTTGAAACACGTATGATGCTCCTGATGATCCTGTGGCCCACAGGGGCACGGTTTCAAGGGGGCAAAGCAGGAGAGTTGTTGTGTATGTAGTACAGCATCTTTCACGCAGCATAGGATCCAGACTTAACATTGTTCAATATAGAAAGACAGAAGGCAGTTAATCTGAAATCGACAACCATCCCTCTGAGACATTACGAGAGAAACAGTTGTGTACAGTTTGGTGTAGCGATTAGGAGTGCAGAGTCTAATCTGGGAGAACCGGATTTGACTCCCCACTCCTCTACATGCAGCCACCTGGGTGACCTTCGGTCAGTCACAGTTCTCTCATAGCTGTTCTCTCAAGAGCCATTCTTTCAGAGCTCTCTCAGCCCCCCCTGCCTCACAGGGTGTCTCTTGTTGGGGGGGAAGGGATAGGAGATTGTAAACTACTCTGAGTGAAGGGCAGGGTATAAATCCAGTCTCCTCCTCCTATTGCTGAATATGCTGGCATTTACATTTAACTACTTAAGGTCAAGTGAAATTCTACTAGGGAAAGGGCACATTCAGTTTGCTAGTGCAAAAGTTACTCTTTACACCTAAAATTCACCTGGGAGAGGTGAGAAGATTCAGCCCTTTTAAGGACTTTATTGATTCACTGATGAGTGAAACAGGAGATGATGCAGTCACTTTCAAACGACACAAGTACACTTAATTTCTATTGAAGACACAGAGCAAGTCAAGTCAAGTCAGCCTTTATTGGCATAAAAGAAGACACAGAGCAACAAACATAACATTAGGATCACAACCAAAGCTGTGTATGTACCCATTAAGCCATGAGGTGGGTTTTCCAGACATGACTAGGCTTTCAACAATACGTGCTTTGTCTCACTGTGCATCTGTGATCACTAAAAGAAATATAATAAACTGGGAGATCCATGTTAGATGCTATCAAAACCTGGCAATTCTAGCTTGCATAATTGGGATTGCTTCCTTCCCAGACCCAGGGAACCTTGTGAATGTGTAGTATAAGAGACTTTCCCTGTAGTGTGAAAGTCAGTTCTTTCAGCCTTTCACGTAAGCTAAAATTCAAGAGTTTTTTAAAAGTATAAGAACCTTGAATTTAAAAAGCAGACTGATAGGAACTGCTAATGAAAGAACGTTTGGAATAAAACCGGCTTCTTTTTCTGCTTCATAGCTACCATCTATCATGCGGGAGCCACCTGTGGCTCTTCAGAGCACCCTTCCCCCAATATAGCACCTACCCCATGTTTCTGGGAAGTAGGCACCACTGGAGGGACCGTTAGCTTTCCTGAGCCGCAGGTCTCAAACCAGCGACAGAAGGGCCCATTGTGTCTAGCAATGCCCTATCGTTCTCTGCAGCAAACTGGCCTCAGAGAAGAAAAACTAAAACCACGGTAACCGTCTAGGAAGATCACAAGCCGGCCACCATGGGTTGGTGGTGGTTTTGCTCGTTTCTCCATAGAGAGCTGGCCTTCCCCTGGGTGCCTTAGCAACCTCGCAGCCTAGCCTGAGCAGCTGTGGCTCATGCTGAGCAGAGAGTGAGAAGGCTGAGTGGGAAGCCCTTCTTCCCCTTCACCCCAGGTTCACAAGTGTTGGCTAAGTTTCAGCCATGCCGTTGTGGTGGAAAGAGACAACCCTAAGTGTACCCTACAGTGTGTAATCTGCTCGAGTCCTTGTGATAAAGGCAGACTATAAATAACATAAGTTAAATACAGATGTCCTCAGGGAACAGCCTTGTAGAGTGTAATATACACTCCTGGTGCTATATGACTAGTAAACATACTAACAACAGCAAGTGTCTTTTTTCATTCTGCTTTTAAATTTGTGCATGGATAAACAATATGTTACAGGAATCTTTATTTCCTTTGACACACTTTTATACAAAGTTATAAAAATGAAATATCCTTGCAAGCATTTCATGCAGCTGCATAATAACTTTTTTCCTTCTTCCAGGTAAATCCCTCTTTTCCAAGATGTGGAAATGATTGTCGAAGGCACTCTAAGTACGAGCTTAAATGTCCTGGTTAGTTTGTAATTTTCTGTTTGCTGTTGACAAGAGTCAAAGCTGTAAGCATAGCCCTGTTGAAGTAGACCACGGTCTAGTCCAGCACTGTTTCCCTCAGCCAGGTGCCTCTGGGAAACTCACAAGCTGAGCACAATTGCAAGAGTCCTGGGATGTTTCAGGTCTCCCACATCAGGCGCTCTGCCCCTAAACATGGAGTTTGTTTAGCTATTTGTTGACCTTTTCGACTGTATCCCAGATTCTTCTGTTTTATGCCTTTAGGGCAGTGTTGGGGGTGCTGTTCTGTTAGGTCCCAGTGGGTAGCCATGATGGTGCCCAGATTCTTCTGTTTTATGCCTTTAGGGAAGTGTTGGGGTGCTGTTATGTTAGGTTCCAGTGGGTGGCCATGATGGTCTGCAGTAGAAGAGCAAGATTCGAATCTGAATCCAGTAGCAACTTAAAAGACCAACAAGATCTTCATGGTATAAGTTTTCAAGAATCAAAGCTCCCTTTTGTATCTGACAAAGGGAGCTTTGACCCCTGAAAGCTTATACCCTGGAAACCTTGTTGATCTTAAGGTGCTACTGGACTCAAATCTTGCCATTCTGTTAAATTACTATCTGACGTTGAAGAAAACCTACATCCAAAGGGCAAGATATGCAAATATGTTGCTGAAAAGCATGATTTGGGAAGAGTGAGGGGGGTGGGTGAGCCAACTTTTGGAGGGATGAGCCAACATTTCCTCTTGTACAGTTAGTCAATTTAAAGTATTGCCAAGCAGCCAACTGATTTTAAACATTTTATGTCAACCACAGCCATAATAATGAAGAACTGCATAATGGATGGCAAAAAGGCTCCCTGAAAAACTCAAAGTCAAATTATTAATACTTCTGTTCACTGTTACAATACTCAGTGTAAGAATGGCCGTTCATCCTCCTGCAGAGGAGCCAAGCATATACAAATTGTTAATGTGATGTTGCACGCGGCGGGGGGGGGGGGATTCCCAGCACTTTCAGCATTCTCTCTCCATTGACACCCTTAACAGTTAAGCCATCTCTAAATTTCAAGGGTCGGGGAAGCGTTTCTTTTGATCAGTTTGGTAAGATCCATAGTGGTGACAGCGCAAGAGAAAAGGTTATCATTAAACGTTTCCAAAAGCAGCTAAATTCAATTATGTGGGACGATATTTTGTCCCTTAAGGGATAAAACTATAGCTATTCACATTGGCCATGTGCTTACCTCTTTCCAAGTGTTTTCTTACAAGGCTGACTTTTTCCTTTCTTTTACAGAAGCCGTGAAGACATATCCCATAGGAATGTATGCTTGCATACTTGCCGCAGTGTGTGTGACAGTGTCTGTCATTGCTGCTGTAGTGTATGTCAAGAAGAGGCACGGTAAGGGCTTCTGTTGGTTTGCAGAGAATGCTGTGGCTGTTTGTGGCTCCTCGGTAGTCAATATGACCATTTCCTTGCAATCACCATCTCCACCTGGCCTGCAGGGCATCTGTGCAGCATTTGTACTTATGCTAAGTTTCTTGTGCACTTCTTAAGACAGCTTGGAGGAGCCACAACCATCTTGGCTGTATGTGATATAAGGAATTATTTTACATGTTTTTGTTTTCTTTTGCCAGTTTTCCCTCAGAGGAGGATATAAGGGAAGATAAATTGAGACAGGGTTTCCTTTATCTTTGGGTGCAGATTCTTTCTACTTTGCCACTACTTCTATATAGATAAAAGAAAGTCCCCTCACTGTAAAATCAACGCCCAGGCCAAACCGCTGGACCTAGAGACACCAAATTCGGGGAGAGTGCTCCCACCATGGCATAGGTGCCTGCTAAAAAGGGATTTTGAGAAATTCGACCCCCTAAGTGGGTCAAAAGGGGGAAAATGTCCTCCCCCCATTGATTCCTATGCAGCTGCCAGGCAGCTCTCTCCCTGCACCCCCCAATCTCTGATTGGTCAGCTGCAGAGCTCAGCGTTCTGAAGTTAAAAAACCCCAACAGTTACAGGGGACTGCAGACAGCTAATGACAGTTGAGGAAATCAGGAGTGGCCAACAAGCACCTGAGAGGTGAAGCAAAGCTGCCGGCCCAGCCTCTCTGATGGCTTCCAACACACTCCCCCCATCTCCTACACCTAACAGCCTGCCAGGTGCAGCCCGACCTCTACAGTGGCTTCTAATACTCCTCCCCCCTCCTACACTGGACAGGCAGCTGCCTGTCAGGTGTAGGAGAGAAGGTGGAGTGGCTTCCAACACACTCCCCCCACCTCCACAGTGGCGTTTAATACTCCTCCCCCCTCCTCCTCCTACACTGGACAGGCAGCTGCCTGTCAGGTGTAGGAGAGGAGGTGGGATAGCTTCCAATATACTCCCCCCACCTCCTACACCTAACAGGAGGTTGTCTGTCAGGTGCAGCACTGGTTGCAGGGTGCTTAAAGCCACGAGGGAGCCTGCCCCAGCAGTAACGCCTTAGTGATCCTGCCAGCCCTGCCTCCACAGTGGCTTCTAATACTCCTCCTTACAGCCGCCGGAGAGGTTTGCTCAGCAGGATTGCCATAGTACTGCTGCTGGCCCAGCCTCCCCGATGCCTTTAAATACAATCCCCCCCAACACCAGACAGGCCGGTGTCTGTCAGGTGTAGAAGCAGGGCCAGGGTATGAATGTTTATGGGTAGGTAGTAAAGGGCATTTCTAGGAGCCATTTCAATGTATGCCTCCCTCATAAACCTGAAGAAATGTCCACCACATCACCACTCCCTCACACCAACTCCCCCTCACACCTCTCACTGCCCCCAAGAAAGCTCCTGCAAACGTCAAGCCAGATACACCAATGCTACAGGGAGGAGGCAACTTAGGAATGTGGCAAAGACATTTGCACATAGTACTTCTGCAATGCACTGAGCTGCACAGCCCAAGTACCAGCAAGATCATCCTGAGGTGCTCAGAACAACACAGTCTCCATATGAGTGCAACAATCCAGGAACACAAGTAGAGAGGCCATCACTTTCATGGAAGGTAGCAGGAGTTGACTTAACAGACGACTGCTTCTTAAATGGGCAGTTCTATGTGGCCTGCTCCAGAGTGAGCTCGTCAAGCAGCCTGGTGATCCTAGCACCTGAAGGCAGAACCACCAATGTGGTCTACAGAGAGGTCCTTCAGTAGAGAAAAAAAGAAGTACGTGTGTCTCACTTCAT